TTTAGGGTTAGGTTTAGGGTTAGGTTTAGGGTTAGGTTACAGCGCGCTTCTGTCGGCGCGCTGTTGTCGGCGCGCTTCAGCGCTCATTCATCTCCGCGGTTTTGACGGCACGGTTTTGTCACCGCACTTTAGTCACACGCGCTTTTGTCATACGCGCATTTGTGGTGGAACCGGTTCTTGGGCCCTGACATTGAGCACCATCTCTCTATTTCCAAATGGCACTAGAAAAGATTATTATGTGAAATTCTGAAATTCCTGTCAGAAAAGAACTAAAAGCAATGTATAAACCAAGTACAAGGTAAAATGAACTTTCAGGCCCTCACTGCTGCTTAAAGGATTCCTAAAATTAGTATTTCGTGGCTTAATGACTCTCATCTTCACCTACTGCCTGGCTCTATTGTCACATGGCCCAGGTCAACTGCTCACAATACCATATCTTCAGCAAACTCAAAATTTGTTTCATTTTGTCTTCATTATTCCCATAGACATTCCTTTTCACACATAAATTTCCTCTGCCAACTAGTTCATGCCACTCTATAAAATATAAATATCCAGGCCCTTTGAGCTCATCATAAATTTCAAGACTCCAAGGGCAAAGGGATGGTTGGAAAATGATCTTTTCCCTAGTAACCGAAGGAAAGAAAGGGATGCAAACTACTTTTGAAAATAACGTGTGGAAAGAACTATTGATTCTTCAAGAGCCTTTCCATTTTCTCCTGTTGATAAGCCGTAATTTCTGCACCTTATCTCTGGCAGCTTTTGCCTTGTTTGCCAGAACTGCCAATCTATTTTCTCATCATTCCACATGTTCAGAGTGTCTCTTTAAACATGAGAGCAGCTTTGGGAGCCAAAACAACAGAAGAGCAGAAATAGAGAAAGCAACAGCCATTTTGCAGAAAGAAGGAAACCAACCCTACCTCTTGCTGAGAGCTTCTTGGTGTTGATAATCTTGGCGGCGTATTCATGTCCAGTACAAAGTTTGACACAGCGTCGCACCACCGAAAAAGCCCCCCTGAAGGACAGGGAAAAAGAGATCGATCAATGACTGCATGGTAGGAAAATTCGATTGACATGGTCATTGCAAAATTCCACCTGTTTTTTTTTAAAGAAAAAAAGGTATGACTTTGCATCCATTTGATTAGCATGCTAATATTAGAACTATTTTTCTCATACTGTCTAGTTAACACTTTTACGAATACCCTAGTCCATGTTCACGCTCTAACAGATGTGGCAGACAAGGAGAAGGTGATGGGGGGAAGAAAGAGAAAAGAGCAAATTCAGTCATAAGCACTTAAGCTTATGATTCAGGTCGCAACCAGCTGGAATCAAAGAGATTCATGACTTCCCGATTTACCTTTCCACATATAAACAGGACCCTTTGATCTGATTAGGAGAATCTCCACCAACAGAATCTCTCTTGAATTACATTTCATTGTATTAGTTTCATCCGTCTTTGAACTGCTTCCTGTTAAATCATACTACAGCTTTCCTAGGCTTCCTAGGTAAGTGGAATGCAGCAATGTTGTTCCTGATATTCATAAATGCAACCCTACAGAGTATTTCACCCAATGGCTATCAGTGGTTATAAATCAAGAAACAAGACTGAGCATTCAAGAAGACAGTGGCCATCAAGACAAGTCCTCGGCCTTCAGTTTCTGAGTTCTCTTCTCCAAGGTGGACTAAAATCATAGTCCTTGGCTTACAACCATTCATTTAGTGACCATCTGAAGTTACAACGGCATTGAAAAAAGTGACTTATAACTGGTCCTTGCATTTATGACCATTGCAGCATCCCCATAGTCGTGTGATCCAAATTGGGATGCTTGGCAACCAGCTTCTGACAAACAAAGTCGATGCAGGGAGCTGGATGTGCTTCCCGGTAACCACCATGTGATTCACTTAACAATAGTGATTTGCTTAACAATCACAGCAAACAAGTTCTCTAAAATTGGGTGGAAATTTTAGAGAACAATGGAAATTCTGGTTCCAATTGTGAGCATTAGTTGAGGAGTCCCTATAATGTTTCCCCTCTCCAGTGGTGGGTTTCAAAAAATTTTGGAACCTCTTCTGTAGGTGTGGCCTGCTTTCCGGGTCCACTGGTGGAACCTCTTCTAACCGGTTNGGGGGGGCGTTGATGACGAGAGGAACTATTGTAATTACTATTTAATACTATAGGATACTGGCTATGTGTAGTATACATGTGATTGTATGTTATGAAAACGGAAAATTAAAAATAAAAAAAATAAAAAAATACTGCAAAACTCTTACTTGAATGCTACTACACATGATTACTATTGAAAATAAGTAATTGTAGTTAACCCTTAAATACTTTACAAGTCCCGTCATGGATAGATCTCCAATCTCATAGTAAATTCTGGGCTTTATTCCCTATGATTTTTTCCCCCTCCTAAGAGGGAATGCTAGTTTTATGGTGGTTAAAAAAAGTCCTAATTCCAGTAGCATTTTAACCGACTAACATGTTTTAACAAAAGGGATTGGCTTGGAATTGGAAAATTCACAGCACTACCAGTGTCCTGGTGTGTTGTGGTTCCTGGGTGCTATTTCTTGGACATTCTAGATCGGAGGTGCCCAACCTTGGCAATTTAAGACTTGCAGATTTCAATTCCCAGAATGTCTGGCTGGGGAATTCTGGGAGTCGGAGTCCACAAGCCTTAAAGGTTGCCAAGTTTGGACATCCTTGTTCTAGAGTCTAGACTAAGATATTAGCTTGAAAAGTTAACTTTTGTGTTTGGAACGTATTTCTATTCACACAAATCCTCATTTTTCAGATAAAAGAGGATAATTTAAAACACCCATAATTTTCTTTGTAACAAGGAATGAACAGCCCGAAATCAAGTATCTCAGTTCAGCCATTACCGCAATCTGTCTATGGAGATTCTCAAGTCATCCAGGTCATGGTGGTCCCAAAAGTGCTTTTTCAAGAGGCAACTGGGCTTTCTTGTTTTTCTTTGAAGACTTTTCACTTCTCGTACAAGAAGCTTCTTCAGTTCTGGGTCTTGGATGAGAAACGAAACTATTTCAAAGAAAAACAAGGAAGTCCAGTGGCCTATTGAAAAAGCACCGTTGGGGCCCTGCTGCAGTGGATTCTTAAGTGGAATGCTTGGAGCGCAGAGTCCATTGCAGTGGGAAGTAGCTGCTCACCTCCACACAACCACACTTAAACAACCCTTAAAAATCTAATCTAAGGCAAGGGGGAAAGACTTAAAGCATCCTCGTTTGTTCATCTCATTTCCCTGGTTATAGAACAGAATAACACCTGGAGCAGTGGTGAAATCTAAAAAAAATTCCTACCTGTTCTGTGGGCGTCGTTTGGTGGGGGTCATGTGCCTGGGTGGGCGTGGCTATGTAGTCATGTGACTGGGGGGTCAAAAGACAGAAACCGAATTTAACAATGTCAGGCCGGGGCATGAGGTTGGACTAGATGACCTCAAGGTCCCTTCCAGCCCTGTATTGCTATGCTCTTTCAAGGTATCCTCTGAAGCTGCATCTAGTGCCAGGTTTATGGTCCTCCGTCCCTCTCCTTTTTCCCTCCACCCCTCTCTCTCTTTCTCTCTTTCTTTTGCAGCAACCCNATTGTTGGGGGCAATATGCTGACTCTGTAAACCGCTTAGAGAGGGCTGAAAGCCCTATGAAGCGGTATATAAGTCTAACTGCTATTGCTATTGCTAAGTCAAATCTGCTCATGGAAGCACTAATAATGAAATTATAATTTAAATATTTTGGACACATATTGCAAAGGCAAGAATCACCGGAAAAGGCCCTGAAATATTTAGAAAAAAATATCTTCAAAAGATAGGGAAGCTAATAGCTATCTTCTATGACAACACTAACAAGCAATCCTGGAAAAATGATGTCCCTCCATTCGTGAAGAGTTAGAAATGTTTGAGCAACAAATAACTTCTGAAAAAGTCATGGCTTGGTAAAACAGAGACATGATTCTTGTGCTTGCAGTTAGGTTAGTAACCCTCTGCAATTGAGTTAGTATATTGTATAAAAAGAAACTATGTAAATAAGAATGATTTTTTTTTTTAAAAAAAGGTAATTCGCCATTTTACAGTAGCCTTGGCTCAATCACAGTGAAAATGATTCTAGTGTATCTATCAATCTTCTAAAATAAATTCGATCAGGACAAAGAATGTAGACTTCAACTCATCATTCCCTTGCCAGCATTCCTTAAATTCCACCTTGTTTGGCATTTAAGGAATGCTGGGAAAGGGAATGATGAGTTGAAGTCCACTCATCAAGTTGTCAATCTTGAAAGGCATTGCCCTAGATCCATTTCGATATGGAGTTTCAATTAGATGGAGCATCTGTGGAAACTCAGCAGAATCAACAATTATAAAATGGAATTGTGATTAATTAACAACAACCCTTATGCGCCTTGGTTATACTGCTTTACTCTTAATACGGAAGAATTAAGGCAATGTCATTAGATGTGATTTAATGAATAGTGCACTAACTTTCAGTAGCTCAGTTCATATACCATGCAAAGCCACGGTTCATTAAAGCCTTGGATTACTGAATAAACCATTAGGGTCTAGTTCAAACAGCATCATGCCAGGAACCAGGTTTTCCAAATCAGAGTGTCTGGTTTTGAGTATAAAGCTAAACCAAAACCAAACAAACCTCATAATGGCTTAGAGCAATATGTAATTGGCTGCATTCATACATTAAACTTAGAAGCCTTTTAGTAGCTGCCTATTGATGAATAATCCATAAACACCTGGTTTGCACAGAATACCAAGTCATAAAGTTGAGTTTGCACACTGTGCCAAACTAAAAGAAACAGTTCACAGCATGTGTAGATCCACTGTGTTAAAACAGCCCTTCTTTGGTTAATAAAAAAGAATTAAGTTAAATAGTTTAAGTTTTGATTATTAGGGGGAAAATGTTATGATACAGGATATAGTCAAATAAAGGAGGTATAATGAGGACAACCTATCTACATATATATGAGTATAATATAAGGAAACTAGATGAAAATTACTAACAGTGATTTGGAAAGGAGGATTAGAAAAGTTTGTTATTAAACATTATGGATGTTTAGCTAGAATAGGACATAAGGATTCAGTGTTATTGGAGGATTTTAGAAATANTATTTTTTAAAATCATAGCAATAGCAATAGCAGTTAGACTTATATACCACTTCGTAGGGCTTTCAGCCCTCTCTAAGCGGTTTACAGAGTCAGCATATTTCCCCCAACAATCCGGGTCCTCATTTTACCCACCTCGGAAGGATGGAAGGCTGAGTCAACCTTGAGCTGGTAAGATTTGAACTGCCGAACTGCAGATAGCAGGCAGCTGAAGTGGCCTGCAGTACTGCACTCTAACCACTGCGCCACCTCGGCTCTTAATCATGTTGCAAATCATTTGGAATTATTATTAACTATGTCTGAATTTTCATGAAGGACATAATATAAAATGTAACGCTGATTCTACCTAACTATCCGTTTAGAGGTAGTCCTTGATTTACGAGGCGTTTGTCCAGTGCCCAATTTTACAACATTTCTTGCCACAGCTAAGCGAAATCACTGCAGTTGCTAAGGGAATCCAGCTTCTCCCCATCGATCTTGCTTGTTGGAAGCCAGCTGGGAACAGTGCAATGATCACATAATCCCAGGACACTGCAACCATCATGCCGGTTGTCAAGTGCCCAAATTCTGATCATTTGAAGATGTTGTGACTGTCAAAAGTTCAAGGACTAGTTGCAAGTAATTTTTTTTGCCGGTGCCATTGTAAGTTCAAATGGTCACCCAATGAATGGTTGTAAGTCAAGGACTGCCTGTAACAGCCACTGATAAGCACACAGTTGCTTCAATTCATAGCACAGAGATTCCATAAACAAAACCCCAACTGTTGCGCAGTAGAAATGCTGATCATTTATCTCAGGGTATCATCTTCCGTTTTTAAATTTTTTCTATCTATCTTGTTTTGCTTTGGAAAAGTCGAAATCTTGAGAGTCCCAATGGTATTCTTATTAAGAGAGAATTC